TAATATATCTAATAAACTATATTGTGTGTGGTGATTTCAGTTCCATGGTTCCTGATAATGGTTTGTTGAGTCTTCTTTCACTTTTCCTGCTGTTCTGGGCTAGAGATTTAACAGTTTTATTGATAGTCTCAGAGATTCAATTTTTTTGCTTCTGTATGGGTTCTTTTGTTATTTGTTTGTTTTTTCTATTTCATTGATTTCTGCCTTGATCTTTGTTCTTTACATTCTGCTTATGGTGGCCTTAATGTTTTTTTGGTTTTTTCTATTTTCTTTTTTATATGTGCCACTGTTGTTATTATAATATTTATATTGTTGTTGTTGTTATGTGCCATCGAGTCGTTTCGGTTTTTTCTATTTTCTTAAGGTGAAAACTGACATTATTGGTTTGATGACCTTTTTTTCTTCTCTAATAGAGATACTTAGTATTTTAAATTAACCCAAAGTAATGTTCTAATGGTTTCCTACAAATGGTTTATGTTATGTTTTTATTTAGTTAAATAAAAGTATTTTATCATTTCTCTTTTGATTTCCTCCTTGATCCTCAAGTTATTTCAGAAATGCAAACTCATTGCTGCTTAGTGGCTTCTGGCTTGTGACCCTCCATCAGGTTTCTGAGGCTACAGACCATAATGAAGGAACTACCCAACTTTCTCCTGTTGAGTCACTGGCCTTTTAGGTTTTGGTGAAACATACTACAAGCTATACCACCAGAGCTCCCCTTTCATGTTATTCAGAAGTATGGTTTTGTTTTTCAAACATTTTTCTATTACTGGATTCTAATAGAATTCTATTATGATCAGAGCTTTGTAGCTTGTAACACCTGCAATGTTTATAATTTATTGTGACATTGTTTATGGCAAGGCAGTATGTAATTTGGATATAAAAGCAAGGCCCATTTGACAGTTTCTACCATTAATTGGAGTTGTTATTGTTAAGTACTGTTGAGTCGAGCACAACTCAGTGACCCTATGAACAGAAGATCCGAACCCTGTACTCTAACTATTGTCATTTCTCTAATGTTCATAGGATTTTCAAAGGCCTGTTATTTAAGAATTGGATGCCAGTTCTGCTTCCAAGTCTGTCTTAATCTGGAAGCTCTACCAAACCCTGTCCACCAGGGGTAACCATTATGGCATTCAACACACCAGTGGTATAGTGTTTAGTATCACAACACCCCCAAGTTATCTCAATACAGCAAACTAACAGACAAGTGCTATACCACTTAGAACAATGATTTAAATAATATTTATGAATTGTGATTATTGATGTTGAGATATATAATCTTAGTGTTTCTTTTTCTGGGTGTCTTATATGCTTAATTCTATTGAACTTCAGGGTTTTTTTTCCTTTGGGGTTATTCGTTATCAGCCCTGATTTTTTTATATTTTAATGGTTTCTTAAGGGTTAATAGTATGCATCATGAGCTCTGATAAGATAGTCAGTAGGGAGTTGTGAAGCTAACCCAAAGACCACCATACCTCTTTGTCAGATTGAATACACCATTGGCTCCAAGGGAGGAAGAAAGATAATCTCCTGTGCAATTGGTAGCCTCAGAAATCTGCTGGAGAGTTAGCTGTGAGTCAGTTCTAACTGGATGGCAATGAATTGTATATACATCTTTATCTTAGTCTGTCATATCTTCTAAAGCCCCTCTGTGACATGAAAGCTGTAGTATCATAACCAGAAACACTTGCTGTAATCTGATACATGGAGAAATAGCTTATTTTTTTGCTTTTGTTATTCTGGAAATTACTGCTATTTCATGCTCTAGTAAGTGACAACAAAACTTTTCAATAAAGGATCTTGTGAATAATTCTTAGGACTGAGCCACCTGCCTTGAACACTGGCATATTCTTCTAAAGTAATTTTAGATAAAGCTGTATTCTCTCTCTGTCGTAGTAAAACCAAAACCATCTGCTATCAAGGTAATTCTGACTCATGACAATCTTCCATCAGGTCCTGGAGGGTGTAAATTTTTACATCTCCCATGGAGCATCTAATGGATTCAAACCACTGACTTAATAGTCCAGTTTACAATGCACTATGCTACCAAAACTCTGTATTCCAGTAGTCACCAGCTGTATTAGATTAAGAGAGGTTTCTGGTTATGACATTATAGCTCTTGTCATTGTACAGTTTATTCACTTGTTGGCAACCCATCAGAACCAACTCGTAGAGCCTGTAAATCGAGGGAGATTGCCCATTCTTCTCTCTCAAGCAAGTGGTAGATTTGAACTGCTAGCAAGTAGCAGCTGTTGGGTTAGCAGCACATCACCCTACAGATTAGGCCAAACTGAGCTCATTCCTTGTCTCATTTGTTCCTCAGGGCATAACTGTGAAATAGCACTTGGTGGCAGTGTGTCTGTTTTAAAGAACATCCTTTGTTTCTCTGTTATCCTAGGGCAAAAGCTAGTGACTTTCCCCAAAACCATTCACTGTGTCACTGGCAAAGTTGGAACTCCAAGCTTGGTGTCTTTCCGTGGTGGCACACCGCTTCACACACATTTGTGACTTGAGATTGTAGCCATAATTGTCTTTCTCTAGGATTCATGGCAGAAGTAGCCTAGTAGCAGCTTGATGTTTCCCCAACAGAGGATTTTGCTTTTTTGGCTAGTCAAAGGAAGCAGGATTCATAGCAGTGTAAATACTTGACAAGTGACAACAAATCTGATGAAGTAATGTTTTCTTTCCAGCATTAATTTAGAAATGGAACATGGCTCAGTAGTAGTTTCTATTTGTAGTTGACTATAAAAACCCATTGTATATTCTACTCAAAAGTAGAATCATTGGAAATGATGAAAGCTGGTAGATGAATATATTATTCATACACAAATTCTAGTGACTGTCAAAAGATTTGGTTTCAGCTTTTGCATTTCCAGCTCATTTTTATAGGCCAATTTTAATGTTTTTGAAACATAGGACCTAGGTTCTCTGCTTTTTAACTAACAGGAGGAATTAAGTACTTGGAGGAGTCTTGACCAAGAATGAGAGAAGTCTGGGTGCTAGGTCTAACTCTGCACAGTAGTCATTAGATTTAAGGCAAGTCATTTAGCCACTTTCGACTTGAGCATTAATAATACCTGCTTCATAATATTGGTGCAAGATTAAATAATGCATCAACAAAGTCTATCTTAGGATTTTTCCAACTCTGGCTATTTGTATTGTGAGTTGGTTATCCACTGTGAACTGGTGTTCTCTGGCATGGTTTTGTTTGTAATGATCACAATGGACTGTAGTGTTGATTCTGACCAGCTCTTTCCTTTACAGACTACAACATATACTCGTCGGGGCCATGGGACATGCACCAGTCCAGGTTGCTCCTTTTCGTATGTCACCAGGCACAAACCACCCAAGTGCCCTACATGTGGTAACTTCCTAGGAGGGAAGTGGATCCCAAAGGTAAGATCCATTGTCCATTATGCTTTGGAAGCCCCACATAATTTAGCTGTTTAAGAAGAGCAGACCTGAAAATATTTTTTACTTTCTGACTCTACAAGAAAGCTCTTTTCATTTTAGGTGATTTGTTTTAAAAAGAAAGAAAACTTGAGTAAACTGTCAGCGATTTTAGATCATCCAAAGAAAAACCATTATTGAATAACTTACGATGGAGTTTTGTTCTCCATCATCAGTAGCTAAAAATTTGATCCTGTTTGTCTTTGGAGTTGAAAATGTTACATGCACATGTGCCCTGTTGATGAGAAGACTTGGATGGTGGTGGCGTTTTTTTCAGTTGTGGTAATAATTTCACCTGCGAAAGGTCTGGATTGTCCCTGGGGATTGGTATGGGATTTCTAGTTGGGTAACTAGTGTTGTCTGAATAATCGTTTTTCCTTTGTCTTTCATGGTGACGTCTCATTGTTTTCTAATTTTAGCAAAACAGTCAGCTTTTGGCTACATAATTTTGAAGCAACTGAGGCTTTCAATTTCATTTAGAAAAAACTCCAGCTAATCTTTTCATTGTAGAAATTTTTGACAACTTCCCCCCTTTACCTTTCATCTTTTCCAACCCTTCCTTGAAGAAGTTTTCACTTGTTTCATATTGATGATTCAAATTTTACCTTTTTTGTTAATTTATTTTTTTATTCATGGTTGTGCCTTTTCTCTCCTCCTCCCCTTCCCCAACCCATCCCACAATGCACTCCATGTTCCAGATTGTTCTCATGCATATAATATAATCATGTATTCCTTTCAGACAATTCTTCCCCTCATCTGTTGTAATGCAGTGTTCATTATTTAACCATTCTTTCCCCAGTCCCTCTCCAAGCCCTATTTTATAAAAGTAGTATTATGCAGTATTTGACCTTTTGTGACTGAGATCTTTCACTTAGCATGATGTACTCTAGGCTCCCCCAGGTTGTGTAATCTTTTACTGTTTCATTAATTTTCAGTTCCATGTAATATTCCATTGTATGACTGTACCATAGTTTTTCTGTACATTCGTTTATTTATGGGACTTGTGCTGCTCCCATCTCTTTGCTGTTGTGAATAATGCAGCAGTAAACATGGGTGGGCATACATCTGTTTGAATTGTGGATCTGGTTTCTTTAGGGTACATTCTCAGTCCAACTTTTTGAGAAAGCGCCACACCTCCTTCTGTAGTGGTTGTACCATTTCACACTCCCACCAGCGGTGAAGAAGAGTTTCAGTCTCTCCACAGCCTCTCCAACATTTGTTGTTTGCTACCCTATTTAGCTTTGCTATTGTTGTTGGGGGGAGATGATATCTCATAGTGGTTTTGATTTGCATCTCTCTGGTATCTAAGGATTTTTAACATTTCTTCATGTATTTGTTTGCCATCTGAATGTGTTCTTTATTTAGTGAAATATTCATTCATATCCTGTGCCCATATTGTTATTGAGTTGTTTACCTTTTTCTTGTTGAAGTGCTGGAGTATTCGGTAAATTTTAGGTATAAGTCCTTTATCATATATGTATTATCAAATATTTTTTCCCAGTCTGTGGCTTTCCTTCTTATCCTTTTGAAGTTTTTTGATGTGCATAGGCATTTGATTAAATTTAAACTTATACTTCATTGTTAATTTAATAAAAGCAACCTACCTTCTAGAATCCAACTATTTCAAACTCTCAGACAGATCTTAGCTAACTTTTAAACACAAAAACCCATCCACCAGGTCCTAATTGGTTTAAACAAAAGGCTTCCAGCCCACAGCTTGCTTATAACTGATTGTTGATTAAATCAAAATGACCAGGCACCTTACCCTGATTGTAAATTAAATCAAAATGAGGAGACAACTTACACTTGATAATTAAATAAAAGTTTTATTCTGAAATACAGTGTTGAGTGGTAGAACATTATCTCTACACATACAAGGAATACTCCTTAATACAACAGTTATTCAGATTTTCTTTCCTATATCTAGACCCAAAGAGGAAGAAATTGAGAATTTTTACCAAATCTTGCAGTCCAAAATTGACCAAACATGCAGTCAAGATGTGCTAATGATATTTGGTGACTGGAATGCAAAAGTTGGAAACAGTGAGAAAGGAATAGCAAGTAGTTGGAAAGTATGGAGCTGGTGATAGAAATGAGGCTGGAAATAGAATGATCAAATTTTGTATTTCAATGCTTTATCCATTGCAAATACCTTTTTTAAAAGACACAAATGATGACTTTACACATAGACTTCACCTGATGGTCTGCATAGGAATCAGATTGACCACATAAGTGGAAGAAATGGTTGGAGAAGTTTAGTATCAGCAGTCACAAGTAGACCAGGGGTGGACTATGGGCCAGACCATGAATTACTCCTGTACAGTTTCAAATTGAGGCAGAAGAAAATAAAAATAAGTCCACAAGAACCAAGATATAATCTTGAATCTATCCCACCTGAATTTCAAGATCCTCTTAAGAATAGGTTTGAAGCATTGAACATCGGTGATTGAAGGCCAGATGAGTTACGGGATGATATCAAGGATATTATTCATGAAAAAAAGCAAAAGGTCATTACAGAGGAGAAAAAAATTGAACTGAATGTCAGAAGAGACTTTAGAAAGTGCACGAGAGCGCCGAGAAGCCAAAACAAAGGGAAGACGTGCTAAAGTAAAAGAACTGAATAGAAGAATTCAAAGGGCAGCTCGACAAAGCAAAGTAGTAGTATGGACCGTACAGAGAACTGGAATTGGAGGTTAAAAAGGGAAGAAATCTCTCTGCATTTCTCAAGCTGAGAGAATTAAACAGTTTAAACTTTGAGTCGCAATATTGAAAGATGGATAGTATATTGAATGACCTAGGAAGCATCAAAAGAAAATGGAGAGAATACACAGACTCACTATACCAAAAAGAACTGATTGACAGTGAAGAATTTCAGGAAGTCACATGTAAGTAAGAGCCAATAGTAGTAAAGAAGGAGTTAGAAGTTGTATTGAAGGCATTGCTAAAAAAAAACACCAACCAAGGCCCCAAGAATTGATGGAATATACCAATTGACTTGTTAATAGTTGCAGCCCTGGATGCGGTCACCAGTCCCTGCCAAGAAATTTGGAGAACAGCTGTCTGGCCAACAGATTGGAGGAGATTCCTATTTGTCCCCATTCTCAAGAAAGGAATATGGAAACTATTGGACAGTATCATGCAAGCAAAATCCTGCTGAAGATCATTAAAAAACAGCTGGAATGGTACATTAATAGGGAACTGCCAGAAGTTCATGCAAAATTTAGAAGAGGCCATGGTACCAAGAATATCATTGCTGAAGTCAGATGTATCCTAGCTGAAAGTATACTAGAAGAATGTCTGTTTGTGCTTTATTCACTATGCAAAGGTATTTGACTGTGTGGTTCATAACAAGTTAAGGCTAATATTGAGAATAATGAGAATTCCAGGGCGCTTATTTGTGCTTATATGAAACCCATACTTAGATCAGGCTGCTGTGTGAACAGAGCAAGGGGAACACTTGTTTTTGTTAGGTGTTGTCCAGTTGAGTACAACTCATAGAAACCCTGTCAACAAAAGGTCCTAACCCTGCTCTATTCTGGACCATCCTCACATTTTCTGAAACACAAAAGCCCATTGTGGCAGTCACTACGTCAGTGCACCTGGTTTGAGGATCTTCCTCTCCTTCGCTGACCCTCCACCCTTCTCAGCATCATGTGCCACAAAGGAGTAGCCGCTCTTGGAAACATGCCCAAAGTATATGAGTTGAAGTCTCATCATTCTTGCCTCCAAAGAGCATTCCGGCTGCACCCTTTCCAAGACATACCTGTTTGTTCTTTTGGCCGTCCATAGGATGTTCAGTGCTCTTCTCCAACACCACATCCTTATTCATTGTCCAGCTCCGAGATGCATAGCAAATGATTGGAAAGACTATGGCCTGAATCAGATGCACTTTAGTTCTCAAACTGACATCATTGTTTCTTAATAATTTAGAGAGGTCCCTAACTACAGATTTTCCCAGTGCATTGGGTCTCCTTATTTCCTGGCTGCTGGCAACAAGGGTGTTAATTATGGAGCCAAGCATAATGAAGCTGTTGACAGTTTCTCTATCCATCCTGCTGGATTGTTGTTAACAATCAGCTGTGGCTGGGGAGCCTCTTGTTTAAATCAATCAAGACCTGGTGGGCATCCTTTTTTATTTAAAAGTCTGTTGGTTGGGTCCTGCATAAGCATCTGCAGTTTGTAGCAGTTGGATTCTGGAGGGTAGGTTTTGATTTCATTGAAGGGAACACTACATGGTTTAAGATTAGGAAGGGAGTGCATCAGGGTTTTAAGCCCTCTCCATACATATTCAGTCTGTATGCTGAGCAAGTTATTTGAGAAGCTAGACTCTGAAGAGGAATGTGGGATCAGGATTGGAGGAAGACTCATCAATAACCTGCATAGTGCAAATGACCCAACCTTGCTTGCTGTGAGTGAGGAGGACTTGAAGCACTTGTTGTGGAGGATCAGAGAATTCAGCCTTAAATATGGATTGAATCTCAAGGTCAAGATTCTTAACACTGAGGGAGCTCTGGTGGCCCAGAGGCAAAGAAGCTGCACTGCAATCCCGAAGGTGTGGTTCTAATCCACCAGATGCTTTGCTGGAGAAGGAGGGGCAATCTCCTCCTGTGCCAGTTGGATCCAATTCAACACAACAAGAAAGGAAAAGAAAAAAAAAATTAAGAAAATAAGCCTTAAAAAAAAAAAATTCTACCACTAGACCAGTAGGCAACATCATGAAGGTTGGTAAAAGGATTTAAACTGTCAATAACTTAATCTTACTTGACTCCACAGTTATACCTTTGGTACTAGCAGTCAGGAAATGAGATACTTTACACTAGCAAATTGAGAAATAGTGATGTCATTTTGAGGACTAAGGTGCATCAGGTTCAGGCCATGGGTTTTCCAGTTACTTGTTATGCATCTGAGAGCTAGACAGTAGATAAGAATGACAGAAAAGAAATTGA